AATCCTAAGCTTCTGTTTATCCTTGCTGCCTATGTGTGAGTAATAAAATCTGCTTCGCCTGACTTGTGTGAGTGTTCTGTTTCACCAGACTAGACTTTAAAGCCCTTGCAATATTATTTAAAATGTCTAGTTTTCAACAAAAATTATGACATATGCAAAAAACATGAAATATAGCTTTATAGAAAGGGGACAATAGCAATTAATAGGAACTGTCTCTGAGGAAGCCCTGATGTTGGACTTAGTAGATGAAGACTTTAAATCAATTGTTTTAAATATGCACAAAGAGCTAAAGAAAACTATACACAAATAAATAAAGGAAACCAAGAGGATCTCTCACCAGAGACAATGTCAACAAAGAGGTAGAAATTATAGAAAGGAAACAAATAGAAATTCTGGAGTTAAAAAGTACAATAATTTGAAATGGCACATTTACCAGAAAGTTTCAAAAGAAGATTTGAGTAAGCAGAAGGAATAATTAGTGAACGTAAAGGTAGGTCAATAGTTATTATTCAGTCTGAAGAGCAGAAAGAAAAACAATGAAGGAAAATGAACAGAGACTAAGACACCTGTTGAACACCACCAAGTGGGACCAACATAAACACTAGCATAAACACAATACAATCCCAGAATGAAGAGAGACACAGGAAGGGCAGAAAAATATTGGAGGAAATAATGGCCCCAAACCCCAATTTGATTAAAAAACTGTTAATTTAACATCCAAGAAGCTCAATGAACTCAAAATAAGATAAACTCAGGCTGGGTGTGGTGGCTCACACCTATAATCCCAGCACTTTGGGTGGCTGAGGCAGGTGGATCCCTTGAGCTGAGGAGTTTGAGACCAACCTGGGCAACATGGTGAAACCACATCTCTACTAAAAATACAAAAATTAGCCAGGAGTGGTGGTGTGTGCCTCTAGTTCCAGCTATTCAGGAGGCTGAGGTAGGAGGATTGCTTGAGCCCACGAATTCTAGGCTGCAGTGGGCCATGTTTGTGCCACTGCATTCCAGTCTGGACAACAAAGACCATAAGACTTTGTCTCCGCACCTCCCAGTCCCCCCAAAAAAGATGAAATCCCACACCTAGGCATGCTATAATAAAACTGTTGAAAGCAGTAAGAGAGAAGTGACTCATTGCATACAAGACATACGTAAGAAATATTTTCATCAGAACCCATGGAGGCCAGACAACAGCTGGATTACATAGTTGAAGCACCAAAAGAAAACACTGTCAACCAAGAATTCTACATCCAGCAAAACAATTAGTGAAAATTAAAGAAGTAATTAAGGCATTTCCAGACAGACAAAAACTGAGATAATTTCTTGCCAGCCAATTTGCCCTACAGAATATAATATACAGGCTGAAGTAAAAGGTCATTAGTTAGTAACTTGAAGAAATCCATATTAAGAAATAAAGAGCACAGAACCGGATAAAGGTAACTACATAGGTAAATATGGAAGGAAAGTATACATGTACATTTCTTTTGAACTCCTTTTATTCTCCTATGTGATTTAAAAGACAACTGCATAAAACAATACAGATTGATCACATTCTGATTCTTTTTAGCCTTTATGTAGATATTGTATCATATGGGTCAATCATAGTTTTCCGTGTGCCTGTAGATTGCTGTTTTCTGCCTTAAATTTTCTTAAATTAACAAATTTAAAAATTGCATATATTTATTGTGCTCATATTGTTTTGAAATATGTATATATTATGAAATGGCTAAATCAGCTAATTAACATATGCATTACCTCGTATACTTATTTTTGTGGTAAGAATACTTAATACCTATTCTCTTATGTTTTTTGTATTTTTATTATTACAAATAATACTGAAGTGACCATCATGTAGATGCACTGGCATACTTTTGTGAGTGTTTTGTCCGTAGGGTAAATTCCTCGCTGAGAAGTTTTGAGTCAAAGGCTATATGTATGTAGAATTTTTATAAGTTTTGCCTATTGATTTCCCAAGAGGATGCTCCATGTTACATTTCTGTTAATAATATATGAGAGTGCCTATATTTTTACCCTCACTGAATCTTGGTATTATTAATATTTTAAATTTATATCAATGGACTAATAGATAATATTTCACTTACACTGCATATATTTATTTTTGAATTAGGTTGAGCATATTTTCAAACATTTTTGGCCACTTATATTTCTGTTTCTGTGAACTGTTTATTGGGCCTTTTATAAGCCTATTAATGTGCTGGTTATCTTCTTATTTAGTTATGAGAGAAAAGCCAGATCTTGGGGGATCCTAGTTACCTTATTCAACTTGGGGGAAAATTATTGATCTCAGTTGGATTCCCTTCCTTTGTTGGTGAAATGGGAGTGGATGAGCATGCTTCATGGGGGTGTGCGGGATGCCTCGCACATCTTTGGTGCTCAGTGAGCATGAGTCTCCTTCATTCTCCAAAGCGGCGATGGCTTATGTTGAGCTCTGCTCCGAGTCTCTCTGCTTTCTTCTTCTGCCAGCAGCCAGGGAAAGCACTTTGCTTTTAAGGGCTCCTGCAATTAGGTCAGACCCACTGGACAATCTCCCAATCCAAAGGCCAACTGTGCCATAGAGTAGAACCTAATCATGGTGTGATATTTTGCCACACTCACGGGTTCTAGGGATTAGTCACGGCATCCTGAAAAGGGGTTGTGCTTTTTAGAATCCTTCCTGTTAATACCATGGCCTTGGGACTTTTTCATTCCTTTTTTTGAAATACAGACTTGGGTGGAGCTCTGCTAGATAGAGTAGGTGAAAGTGGAGCTGCTCTGGGTGGAGAGGGGAGGGAAGGCTAGGGCTTCCCTGCTGGGAGCCATCAGAATGTGATCAGTCTGTATTGTTTTATGCAGTCGTCTTTTAAATCTCGCCTGCTGGGAGCCATCAGAATGTGATCAGTCTGTATTGTTTTATGCAGTCGTCTTTTAAATCACATGGGAGAATAAAAGGATTTCACTCAAGGCAGGACCTCAGAATGACCAGTCTGTATTGTTTATGCAGTCGTCTTTTAAATACATGGGAGAATAAAAGGATTTCACTCAAGGCAGGACCCCAGAATGTGATCAGTCTGTATTGTTTTATGGTCTTTAAATCACATGGGAGAATAAAAGGATTTCACTCAAGGCAGGACCCCAACAACTGAAATCTTCAATTTGAATGTTATGGGTTGAAGGCATTGAAGGCTACCTCTTGGATCATGGGCTCCACTGGACAGGGTGAAGCGTCAAACCGTTGGCACCTTTCTTAAACAGTTTATTTTATTTTTCGATATACATTTTAATTTAGTTTTTCTAAAAAATATTTGTCTCGCATCTTTTTTTATACAAACTTTTGCTTCCCCTCTGCTTTTAAAATTTTTATTTTTATTGTTATGGATTTAGGGATACAAGTGCAGCTGTGTTAAATGGATATACTGGGCCAGGTGTGGTGGCTCATGCCTGAAATCCCAGCACTTTGGGAGGCTAAGGTGGGTGGATCTCCTGAGGTCAGGAGTTCAAGACCAGCCCAGCCAACATGGTGAAACCCTGCCTCTACTAAAAATACAAAAAATTGGCCATGTGTGGTGGTGGGCACCTGTAACCCAGGTACTGGGGAGGCTGAGGCAGGAGAATCTTTGAACCTGGGAGGCTGAGGTTGCTGTGAGCCGAGATTGTGCCACTGCAGTCCAACCTGGTGACAGAGTGAGACTTTGTCTCGGGAAAAAAAAAAAAAAGGATATACTGTGTAGTGGTATAGTCTAGGCTTTTAGTGAACTCACCACCCACTTAGTGTTCATTGTACCCGGTAGCTAATATTTCATCCCTAACCCCTCCTGCCCTCAATGTCTATTACTCCTCTCTATGTCCGTGAGCACACGTTGTTTAGCTTCCACTTACAAGTGAGAACATGCAGTTCTTGGCTTTCAGTTTTTCTGAGCCATTTCACTTAGGATAATGTTAGCAGTTCACTGGGGTAGCTGTTGCTGAAATAGGGTCCTGAATGCTGGAGCCACAGGACCAACTGATTTGGATAAAAAAGGAGAGAGAAGCAGCAGATCCTGAAGTAGCTGAGGGGCTGCAGGGAAAAACCCTGCGACACCAGGGGGCTGCCTGCCACTAAAGGGAGCCCTATGGCAAAGAGGAAAACAGGGGGCCCTGGATGTGAGGGCCAGGCCTGGCAGGACGCAGCGTGGGACGCAGAGGCAGACGGACAGAACGCGAGCAGCTTTATGAAAGGCCGCCGTGTGCCGCACTTACTCTCCAGTGGGGCAGGAACCAGGCCTGGAGGCGACAGGGCCCGAAATAACAGGCGAAACACAGCCAGGAACTGAGCTTAGCTACAGCAGGGGACAGACGTCCTCAGGACACTACTACCACTGCCATCCCCACGAGGTCCCTGAGGCTCAGGACTGGACGCCAGAAGCGGCCTCGCAGAGGACAGGGGTCTCCAGCATGCACTGGCTGGAAGCCCGGATCCCCACCCACGGCTGCGGCCTGTTGCTCCTCACATCAGCATCTTAACTTTTTGAGTTTTGCACATTTCACCTGCATGGCAGCAGAGGTGAGTGGGAAAGGCAGTGCTCAGCTTCCCACCTCTGTGGGACGGGAGGCCGGGTGGAGGAGGTTGGAACAAACCGGTGCTGAACCAGCCAACTTGAGCATGTGCCGCTCACACCGAAGGCAGACTTCTCCTTCCCACTGCAGTCGATTAAAAACCTGTTACTGCTGCAAGGGCAGCGCCTTTTAATTGTGATTTCCAGTAAGAGGTACGCGTAGCATCTTGACCCACCCCATCACACCCCAATCCCCATGTAAATAATACTGAGCCCGATGTTTCATGAAACAATGCCTGTACAGCCGAGTACTCCAATATAGACAATTATATTTAATTTGAAAATGTTGATTATAATTTCACAACCCACGAATGGGTTGCAAGTAGCAAGTTGAGAAATGCTTTTCTAGGGCTTATTTGGACTTCACATAAGGGATTCAAAGCATCAACCAGTTTCTCTCTGTGTCTTCAGAATTCCGGCAGAATCAGGCCTCTGGATGTTCCAGGGATGTGTCCTGGTTCCCTGGCTGTTATTACAAAGCAGCAGTTCAGATCCATGGAACTTCTCGACTGTTCTGCCTCTCGGTGACTTGATCCATCAACTGAATAGTACAGCGTCTGATCAGATTTTAGAGAGGTAAGAGCACTGGCTCTTCCTGTTTTCGAAGGTTTGCTTTCGGCACTCACTTGGCCTCATGTTACCACCCCTTTGGTCTCTGGAGGAGCTGGAGAGAATGGCTGGGTGGATGCATTTCGGGGAGTGGCTGAGCATGCTCAGTGAGATCCACTCTTCTGCGGGAGCTGCATGCAGGGAATTCTCTCCCACCCCAACCCCCCACTTCTCTCCTCCACTCTACCCTGCCTCCCTAGGCAGGAGTGACTGGCTGTGGGGTCCATGCGGGCCTGTCTGCTGTCCAGCTCAGCCCTCACTGCCTCTCACGCTCTTATCAGTAATGAGCTGATGTTTGGGTTCTCATCTCTCACTTCTTACTCTAATTCCCAGTTTATTCATGGAGAAGAGAGAGGCTCATTTATTGGTGCTCCTTCAGCAATGACACTGGTCTCAACTTATTGGCAGGGAAAATGAAGCAGAGGATCCCAGATCCCACGGTGTGTTCATGGGAACCCAAGGCTAGAGGTCAGCCCCCCAGGCTTCCAGCCCCAGCACATCTCTTGAGTACTTTGCCAGTTCGAGGATGTGCCACAAATACTACAAAACAATAGCAATGTCCTTGAGGCAATCCTTGGAGACAATTGTCAGCACTTTGAGGTTTCTACCTCCATTGGGCTTGCAGCAGACACCAGTGGAAAATGGTGACAAAAACCTACTGCCCTGTCCTGGTTTACCAAAAGTCCCAGAACCACTCTAAAGCCATGAGGTGGTTACATACGGGGCGGGGATCCATCTGTCCCAAGTGCTTGAAACAACGCCTGGTAGATGACAAGCCTTCAGTAAATATTGGCAGAATTGAATGGGATCATTAGACCATTAAAATACTTGTTTTTAATCACTTCTAAGAGGGTTCTAGGATGGCTTCAGGCATTTCTTCGTATTTTCAATCCCTACACCATCCTACAATGTTTCCCCTTTTATGGATGCGAAATTGAGGATGAGGTCAGTTGACTGAGTCATGCAGGACCACACAGCTGGTAAGCTGCTGCACTGTGATTCAGATCCCAGGATATTTGACTCCAAAACCTGAAGACTTTTATTTATAATGTTCTGATACTGCAGCCACAGGCATCAAGCTGACCATGAGAGAAATCACCATGAAGAGATCCTAGCTCGTGGAGGTTGCCTCTCCACGCATCAAGCAAGGGTTGGGAACTTTATTGGTACAAAGCAGTAAGCCCAGCCGTGGGCATGTAGAGCTGTTCCCATCTGTACCAATGAAGGCCAAAGCTCCCGAACATATTCCGCATCCACACCGCAGCGCCTGTCTGCAGCGCCTGTCCGCACGCAGCACCTGTGAATGCCAAAAGGCACTTCGGGCACGACTTTTGTAAAAAGGGGTATTCTCCAGGTTCAAGTTGAATAGATATTTTGGAAAATACATTCTGTAGGGTTCTTCTGGGGGTCATTTTGAGAAACTGTCACACACCCTTTTTTGTGGTCCCTTTTATTTAGTAACACACGCATGCACAGACACCCGCGCGCGCACACACACAATGGCAGGCTGATGTAGCAAGTGTGCCTGACGCTTTCTGTTGGGTGGTCTTGAGTGTTGATACTAGAGTTTATGCAGCAGTTGGGTAATTAATTGTTGGAGAAATTACCAAGGATATTTTCACACAGAAGCCTTCCCCCACCAGCCAGTTACTGAATCGGATGTGAGGGACTGAAAGACAGCTTCCTCTTCTGGCTGAGATGAAGCCTGACCCTCGACTCCTTGAGGACTCAGAGCCCTCCAGCCCTGTCCTTGTGTTCTTAGGACAAGAATATGAGAGGTGCTATGTAATGGTGTGGAGACTTTAGAGACACAAACTAGATGCAGGTGGTCAAATTAAAGGCAGGAAATTGGCTGCAGAAGCCAGCTCTATTTAAGTTCACGTAAATAACTAGTGGTTTTCAAACCTTAGGGTGTGTGAAGTCACTGCGAAGCTTGTGAAAATGGAGATTCCTGACTCCGACTCCCAGAGGGGTTCTGATTCAGTTGACCCGAGCTTCAGAAGTTTTAATTTTTAACAAGTAGCTCAGGTTCACACCAGAATTCCACCTGTCTGGCCAACTGGGGATGTCAGAAGAGGCACAACAGGTAATACCCAGGGTATTCTGAACTTCCTGAGCTTTGGGCTTCCTAAATCAGATACATTACAACTTTATTTTAAGGAAAAAATGGAAAAATAACTTGAAAGGACCAAATGGAGAAATGGGTTGAAGTTATGGTTCATGAATATAATGAAGTATTATGTGGCCAATAAAAATAGCACATGTACACCTGTAATATGGAAACAAGGAAAACATGTTCTCATGATGATTACAGTGACATAGGCAGATTATGGGAGGGTAATAACAGAAATAACATGATGGTCCTTAATAGTATTTAATTTCATCTACTCAATTATTTTGTAAAAGTCTTCACTACCAGCTCAGTATGAAAATATTGTGTTTTGTGTTTTGCGTTAATACTGGGCTCTGTAACAAGTAGAAAGGATGTAATTCCTATCTACAAGAAGCCAATGGCTATAGGATGAGTAAAATGTCAAAAGAGATCTAGAGGTGGTGTAGAAAAATTGCAGACTTTTTGGCCAGAAGATTTATGTTTAAGTTTCAACCTTAGCACCAAAGTGGACAACCACTGGCAAATATCTTAACCTCTCTTAGAGCCAGTTTTCACACCTTTCAAGTGAGAATAACGATAACTACTACCTTAGGAGTTGTGATAATGGTACATGAGGCTAATAAAAATAAAAGTACCTTATAAGCTGTAAAATGCTATTAAATATAAATGTGTTTTCTGCAAAGCAATACAGTGAAATGTCAACTTTAGAAAACCTTCCCCTTTGAGGTTTTTTTCACTTATGAGATCAGAAATGCATCTTTGGCCTGATTAATAGTGAGTTCTTGTAATCAAGCATCTCTGAGACTTGTGTGTGTCAGATAGCAGAGAGGTTACGATGGCATAAGAGGGTCAATCAAGCACCATGCACTGTGGTCCTGGCATGCACCATCAATTGAAGCTGTGTCCACCAACAAGCCCATGCTTGTCTTTGTCCGTAGCGGGTGGTGGAAAAGCCCATCGGGGATGGATGGACACAGTCACCTGGAGTGTCCATTCACTTTCATCTTCCCCAATGCCCTGTACACAGATTGTGCATCCAGCTCTGGCTGTGGACCTGTGGTGTCGTGATGACCTGGGATCATCAGAGAGCAGGAGGCCATTCCCTTTGGTGCCTCTCATTCCCTGTGTGCTGGCCAGCACATCATTAGGCCTGATGGAAGGCTCTGCCAGGCCCTTCCCCACCGAGGGCCTCATCAAGTTTCCTTGACAGGTGAGTGGGGTCCATTTTGCTGGAAAGACTCTGGAAGGCTAGAGAAGAGACTGAGTGCTCTCTCTCTCTCTCCTATGGGAAGGCAGTGAGCTAGTGCCCTGTTGGGAATGCAGTGGGAGAATTCACCAGATGCTTCCAGCAAAGCCGGGAAGTCCTAGTGAATTACACGATGATTTCCACAGTGTTTATCAAAGATCTTCTGCTCCAATATAAAGCTCCCAAATATGGTGTTTCATGATGTGGCTGAGATGTGGCCAAGTGTCCAAGACACATAAATATTTACTAAATAAGCAAGCAAATGCACTTGGAAATGCATTTCTGTCTCAGTATTAATGCGGTGGTCATTGGCATTGATTCTCAAAGTGAGGCCGTTTTATGGATCATTCTCAGCAGGGACTAAGAAAACATATCGATGTCCAGATCTTTTAAGATCCAGGAAGCACAGGCGGAGAGTTCATGTTTTCCAAGGGAAGGTAACATTTTTGTACCCCAAGAGTCAGGAACCCCGTGCAGTGCTGAGCACAGGAGAATTCAGAGGCGTTAGCTTCTGTGAGACTTGGGTTCAAGTCCTCGCTTTGGCCCTCCCTGTGACTATGTGCAAAAACTCCACCTCTCTGAACTTCAGTTGCTTTGTCTGTAAACGCTGTCCATGTCTCATGGGGTTATTGTGATGATTAGATAAGATAATATGTATAAAGCATCTGGCCAATATCATGCACTCGTTAAATATTAGTTTTCCTTTTCCTTGAATTATTGGATTTGTTTTGAAAACCTTGGGGTTCTACCAAATCTCACACTCCTTCCCCAGGATGTTCCTCTGCAGTCCTGGTGTATATATGCAGTGAAAGTGAATCCACATGTTCTTCACTTGTGTATACTAAAAACATCAAAATGTTATTCCAGAAGATTTGTTTGATGTTCAAAACACCAAAGTGGCAGCACTGAGTGGCATGCTCTGAAGATGCCTGTCTCGCTGGATTTTAAAGTGGCACCAGTCAGTGCCTTTAGCATCCCTCCACTTACACTGGTCCTAGCGATAACACGGGCTTATACAATAGCAAAGCCTGGCATATGATTGCACGTTTTGCTGTAAAATGTTTTCACAAATATTTTCCCGTTTAATCATCAAAACAACTGTGTGTGTGTGTGTGTGTGTGATCAATGCAATTGTTATCCAACCTTCCAGATGGGTTTAAGCAGAATCTCAGAGGTTTCAAGCAACTTGTCTAAAGGCAAAAAGCTGATAATTGGCAATAGTGAGTTTCAGATTATATTTTCAAATGTAGAGCATCCCACAGCTACCTGGAGCCTAGAAATTAGAGGCTGTTCAACATGATTAATCTCTCCCTTTGCCTTACTTTTTCTTGGTTTCCTATGGGAATTCCCACAGAGGTTTTAGCTTTTAGGCAAATCTCATGGATTCATTGCTCAGTAAGCAAAGTCACTGAGGGCTGGGCTCAGTGAAAATTTTGCAGGCTGAATGATTAAAAAAAAATCTGGTAAGGATCACAAAATTGAGGGCCAAATGGGACCTTCAGAGGCGCTTTCATTCCTGGAGGCATTCAGGATTTCATTCCACGATTTTGATTGCAGTCCTGCTGTGTGCCGGGCTCTGTGCACGATCATGAGAGCCAGTGTCAACCACAGTGGTTGTAGTCCTGGTTGTCAGGACTTTAGGGCCAATCTTCCAGCCAGCCCTCTAAGTTCACAGGTGTAGGAAGAGGCCTGAAGAAGGGACATTACTTTGCTCCAGGCCACATGGCTGGTTAGTTAGAGGCAGATTCACACTTGTCCAACTCTGGCCAAGCTTCACCCCACTCCCACAGAGGCCACTCAATTTAGAAGAGAAAAGACATCCAATGCTATGCTTTCCTGTGTAGCAGTGGGAATCGTACAAACGCCCATCTTCCTGGATAGCTGTCCCAAAGCTTTGGAGTTTTCTTCTGATCGCTATGCCATGGTTCGTGGTGTCCCCTTGGTGGGTACTCATGGAAGGAAAATCAGAAGTGTTTCCATGGTCCTCACCCGGTGGCTAGGTCTAGGTCCCACTTGCTCTCAGCAAGCAGCCAGTGCCACCCCTGTGATCTGATGGGGGCTGAGGAAGCCTCTCAGTGCACACTCCCCGGGCCACCTCTTCACACTTGGGAAGGTCCAGTGTGCCCTGAGCCCCATTGCTCCTGTCTCTGTGTGGGCCCACTGCTTTCCAGGGGAGGAAGGCAGCTCCAAGGAAAGTTCAGATTTTTGGTGGTGCCTCATAAACCCAGGAAACAGGAAAATAAGCAAAAGAAAAAAAAAAAAAGCCTCACAGATGGGGGATCAGTCCTAAAACATCAGGCCATTTTCTGTCTAAATCAAGACATCTGGTCACTTTTTTCCGGCAGGACAAAGAGTCTTTTTTTCCCCAAGCCAGGATTTTATGTCTTTAATCTTTTCCAGAAGAAAAGAGTTCTCATTACGTCTGCATCTTATCACATCACTGTATATCATAAAGATGCTGTTATCGCCTCTTCCTTCTGATTAACTGGCCCTGAGTGATTCTAGCTAGTGTTATTAGCTGTGCTCTAAAAACAATGACACTACTTTCACCCAGCCATCAACAGAGGTCAGATTCATAGGCACTGTTGAGTAATCCACAAGAATCTCTGCAAGTTCTTCATAATAAACAATGACGAGAACAGTTCTTTGTCCAAACCACGGCTAAGAGAGCCTTTCTGTGCAGATATGCTTTGGCACCTGCAACTGGAGTTTAAAAGCCGCCAGCAAGCTCAATTCCAGCATGTAACCTCACTAGCTGGCTTGGTTTCCTGAGTCAAAATAACCGAAGGGACTGGAGATGTAGCACCTGGTGTCTTAAGTGGCCAAGCAGCAAACAGGTGTTATCCCTTTATAAATTAACCACCCTTTGGAAAGGAGCTTGACAGAGAAGAGAGGTTTTGTCTCCAAAATTTAAATGTGGAAATAGAGACATGTGGATATTAGAATAACGTGCAAGGGGCCAGGTACAGTGGCTCATGCTTGTAATCCCAGTGCTTTGGGAGGCTGAGGTGGGAGGATTGCTTGAAGCCAGGAGTTTGAGACCAACCTGGGTAATAGCAAAACCCCATTTCTACAAAATACAAAAATAAAAAAAGTTAACCAGGCATAGTGGTGTGCCCCTGTAGTCCCAGCTACTCAGGAGGCTGAGGCGGGAGCGCATGAGTCCAGGAACTTGAGGCTTCAGTGAGCTATGAGTGCACTTCTGCACTCCAGCCTGGGTGACAGGGCTCGATCCTGTCTCTAAAAATCAAAAAAGAATAGCATGCAAGGATGACCATGATAGCAATGATGACTATGATGTTAACGATGTGCTGACAATGCCAGTCACTGTCATTTCACAATAAGTGCCCTGATGTGGGAAGTACAGGATGGATGCTTGGGGAGCAGAGCATAGCGTAACTGACCCCGTGGTCAGTAGTTTTCAAACGTGGCTCTCTGTTAGACTTACCTGGTCTGGCCAGCCTACCCACCCCCAGCACCCCAGGGAGTCTGATTTAATTGTTCTGGGTGGGAATGGGGCCTGGCATTGGTACTGAAACTCTCCAGGAGACCTTCCTTTGCAGCCAGGGTGGAGAACCTCTCCCTTTGGTGAAATAACCCAATCTGGTGGCATCAGGAAGGAATGCAACAGTCAGTGACTTTTCAGCTCCTTCAAGAACAGGCAAGCTGAAAAGTGAGACAGATGGTGTATTAGTCAGGGTTCTCTAGAGGGACAGAACTAATGGGATATATATATACACACACACACACACATATACACATATATGTATACACACACACACATACACACATATATGTATATACACACACACACATACACACATATATATATGGGAGTTTAGCAAGTAGTATTGACTCCCATGATCACAAGGTCCACAATGGGCCATCTGCAAGCTGAGGAGCAAAGAAGCCAGTCTGAGTCCCAAAACTGAACTCGGAGTCTGATGTTTGAGGTTTGAGGGGAGGAAGCATCCAGCAGAGAGAAAGATGTAGGCTGGAAGGCTAAGCCAGTCTGGCCTTTGCACATTTTTCTGCCAGCTTTATATCCTGGCTGCACAGGCAGCTGATTAGATGGTGCCCACCCAGATTGAGGGTGGATCTGCCTTTTCCAGGCCACTGACTCAAATGTTAATATCGTTTGGCATCACCCTCAAAGACACATCCAGCATCAACACTTTACCTCCTTCAATCCAATCAAGTTGACATTAGGTATTAGCCATCACAGGTGGTCTAGGAGAAGGGAACAGGAGGAGCGGGTGTGAGGGTTAGAGGTGAGGGACGGATGTCTGCCGGGAGGAGCGGGTGTGAGGGTTAGAGGTGAGGGACGGACGTCTGCTGGGAGGAGCGGGTGTGAGGGTTAGAGGTGAGGGACGGACGTCTGCCAGGAGGAGCGGGTGTGAGGGTTAGAGGTGAGGGACGGATGTCTGTCGGGAGGAGCGGGTGTGAGGGTTAGAGGTGAGGGACGGATGTCTGCCAGGAGGAGCGGGGGCCGTGGTGCAGGGCGGGAGCATTGCAGGTGAGTCAGGACAGGGTGAGGGTGGACATGGAGGGGCAGGTAGGGGAGGGGTGGCGAGGGCTTTGTGGGACAAGCTGCAGGGTCTGCATGTCCTCCTGAGAGCAAAGGGAAGCCACTTTGGTGGCATTTCACAGGGTAGATGGCATCAGATAAATGAATGAATGAATGAATGAATGAATGAATGAATGAAATGATTGTGGCTGCAATAGGGAGAATGGATTGGAGAGCGACAAGGCTGGAGGCCAGAGGCCAGGGAGGAGGCTGTGCTTTAACCCAGGCGAGAGGAGATGGTGGCCTGGGCAGAGGGAATGGCTGCAGAGCGGGATTCACATTATAGTAGGATGGGGAACTGACAGCATTTCACAAGGAACTGATATGGAAGGTGAGAGGAGGAGTGAGCGTTTCCCAGGTTTTCCTGCCTTTCTCAGGAAACGCAGTGCCTCAGTGACTCCACACTCACCGCCCCCTCGCACGCCTTGTAGCCCTCCCCTGCACTAATCTGCGACTCCGAGTCCACCAAATCCTAGGAGCAGCAAGGCTCCCCCCCGAGAAGTAACCCCCTTCCAGAAGATGGCAGCTGGGTGTGTCCTGTGTAGGTCTCCTCCAGGACTACCTGCCTTTTAATCTTCCCGTTCACTCTGGGAGGGCCACAGCACACAGAGGTGGTGGCAGGGCCAGGCCTCTCCTCACATCACCAGCGGTGACTCTACCTCCCTCCAAGCATCAGGATGCCCCTCCCTTCCTCTAGCCCCCCCGCCCTGCCTTCCATTCATCCGGCGCCGGCTCTGTGGGAATTGTGGCTGAAGTCATATGTGTAAAAGCACACTCTCAGGAGAGTACACAGAATTCACAGGCCACACTAAAGCCTTGCTTCATTTAACTGCTCCTGGGACCTTATCGCTCTGCTGACTGGGATCCTGAGCCTGAGCGCGCTGGTCCTCGTCAGGGGCGATTTCCTGCCAGGTCTGCTTGCCCTGGGATTCAAGTCCCTGAACTTCCCCGCCTGGACCGCACTGCTTAGCGCTGACACCCTGTTGTTCCTGCAGAATCTCTTTGGTTTAGGAGATACTAAGCCAATTCAGTCTCAGTGAAAGTTTGTCAGGAGCTGAGTGATCATTGTCAAAGGTCAGTCTTGACTGGGCAGAGGTAGATATGCGGGGAGGACGGGAAATGACACAGGGGAGGAAGCAGGCTCCGGGAATTAGGCCGGTCAGGGTCACACAACAATAATACCTTCCCTTTGCTACTTATTTATTCTATGTGCCCAAAGAAGGTTTGCAGGCACAAGCCTCAATTCTAAGTCAAAGCATAGCCAGCAGCACAGCCAGCGCAGTGAATTCCCCATGGCTCTTTGCGGCTGCCTGGTCCCCATCCCATGGACACGCGGCCCACATGTGTTTGCTCCACAGAGATGAGCTAGCAGAGCCGGGGCAAAATCCCACCTGCCCCCTCGGGCCCATCAGTGTGACAGACACCAGAAATACTGGTTTGGTATTGCACAATTTGTACAGTTCATGATGAGCGAATGGGATTTCGGGTGGTCTTGACTTTCCTTTTTCTTCTTTTCTGTGTTGTTTGAATGTGTTATCTTTGTAATCATAAGAAAAACAAAGCTGTGTGTTGGAGAGAAATTTGGAAGGCATCGTCTAAAGAGATGTGCAGTAAAAAAGAATGGAATAATGCCTTTTGCAGCAACATGGATGGAACCGGAGGCCGTTATTCTAAGTGAAGTAACCCAGGAATGGAAAACCAAATGCTACATGTTCTCACTTAGAAGTGGGAGCTAAGCTATGCAAACATAAAGACAAACAGAATGGTACAATGGACACTGGTGACTCAGAATTGGGGAGAAGAGAGTGGGGGGAGGGCTGAAAAACTACATACCGGGTACAATATATACTACTCAGGTGATAGGTGCAGACCTCACCAGTATACAATTAATCCATGTAACCCAAAACTATTTGTACCCCTAAAGCTACTACGAAAAGAAATGAGTGAGTTATTTTGGTGAAACTAAATACCTAGTTGGCTAAGCCTAACAGAGAAATGCTACTGCTGAACCTCAGAGAAGCTTGGGGGCCACCGTGGCCACGTGTGCAGCCTGGAGAACTGAGCCGGACTGAGTTTTGCTGGGAGTGACAGTAAAATGTAAGTAGAAAAAAAATCAAGTTATTGGGGACCTTGCCCACAAGGGCCATGGAAGGACCCCTCGGGTGAACAGAGCGAACCTTAAGACCCTGTCTCTGGGAGGCAGGTGACACCGAACGCCTTTGAGTCTGGTGTCTTTCGTCTGCTGCAGCCCAGTGTCTAGCCGTCCTGGCTCAGTGAAATGAGGCAAGTGAAAGAAAATGCTCAGGAAAGCATCTGGGCATCTCAGAGAGATGGCCCAGGCCCTTGGCCTCAAAGATTTTGAATGAATTCTGAGCCTCTTCTCTTCCACCTCATCCTGCTCTGGGACAGGCCATCAATGCCTAACAGCGCCTGCTGCTCAGGGCCGTGGATGTGTTGGCCTCGCTGTCACGCCCCATCTGTGGCTATCAGGGAACCGTCAGCATGCTGCCCCGCAGACCCAGTCCACTGACGCAGGTGGCCATGCTTACGGCCCAAGGGCGTCTTAGGAGAGCAGTTCTGCAGTTGTTTGTTTCCTCCCCCAGGTGTGCATCAGCAGGGCCTCAGCCGGGGCCACAAGCCTGGAAGGCCCTTGGCAGTGTCCTCAGTGCACACAGTCATCTTCCATCGTGAGTCTGACCCTTTTCTTTTAGCCATAGATATTTATGTTGGTTCTTTTGTTCTTCAGGATGAGTTTTCTCTTGTTTCCTGTGCTACTTAGGCTTAGATAGACCCACTCCATCAGCCTGTTCTCTGGGGCCAGAGATACCTAGGTCTCAGGAGTGACACAATTCAGGGATCCAGGTGGGATGCCTGCCATGCCATAGTGTCACAACCAGCATCCTACGTGGAGCATTCGGAGATTATCTGAAAAGCAGAAGGATCTACATCATAGAGTTGTTGTGAGGGTAAAATGCGCTACCTTGAAGGGCCTCATGCAATGCAGGGCACATTTCAGTTGCTTAGTACATGGTAGCCACACCGTCATACAGCACTCATTGTGGATGACAGTGTTGGTGGGCTGTGTGGGTGGAGGTCTCTGAGTTCTGGGTGGCACCTAAGCCCCACACTTCCTGCCACCTTCTCGGGCTCGCTCAACTCTCATGGCACTTGATGAAGAGACTGCAGGATGCTCAGGCTGGCTGGTGCAGCAGGATTGGGTGTGGCTTCAACTAGGCCACTGAGAACTCTGACAATGCTTTGCATTTGTAAGTGGAGGGGAGGGAAAACTTTCCCTGTAGTGAGATCTAGAAGCTTATATATGCTCTTCATAGGGGGCAGGGAAGGGGAAGGGAGACAACTTAGGGGAGGGTAAATGACTTTAACCCTTTGTCTGTGGCAAAGTCTGTCTGGGTGGCATGAACCTCCAGTTTGCTCTGCTGTGCTTTGAGTTCCCTCTTGCCTGGTGGATGAGGTTCCTGGGGAGGGGTTCATGACATCTAAGTTCCTTTGGCAGATCTGTCTTTGGGTAGAAACAAGGAGCTTGGAGAAAGTCCCTTCCTGAATCTGCTATTCCCCAAGTACCCTTGGTTTGAAGAAATTGCCAAGAGTGACTTCAATGTGCCCTTGTGTGTATTTTGGGGTGGCATTTCCTACACTCTTTTATGAACTACACGGCATACAAATAGAACATTGGAAAAAGTCACTTCCTGTGACTGTGCACAAAGGCTTTAAGTTGAGAATTGTCTGATTAATCATCACATGTGCTGTGAGAAATGGCGTGGAACCACTTTGTGGGGGAAATACGTCTTTTCAGAGCAAATATCTGAAGACGGAGATATGTGAAGATTCAGGGTGATCATTCTTAGCTGTTCCCTGCCCGTCAGCCACTATTGCTTTTATTTCCTCCTTTTACTGGAAACGGCTACTCCTCCCTTCATAGAATTTAGAAGTCTGGAGCTAGAACGGGCAAGAACATTTGCAGGGGAGCAGTGAGGCCTGAGCCTGGCCTGGGATGCATTCAGGGCGAGACAGCTTACAGCTTGTGACTCAGGACCTCTGCAAGGGGGAGGGAAGGAGGGTGACATGGACAGTTCTATAAGGCAGGTCTTTCTCTGAGGACTTTCCATTTCCTCTGTTCTTCCACCAAGGCTCAGTTGGGTGGTGAATTAAGTTAACTGGTCATTAAGATGAAAGAGGGAGGAGGAAGTTCAGAGCAGGGCTTGTTCTCCTTCCTGGAAAACAGCCTTGAGCTGTGGTTTGAAACAAGAGATGCTCTTTAAGGATTAGTTGTATTCTCAAAAACCACATCAGATGGAAAACCCAGAGTCACAGAAACTCTGGGCTTGGCTTTGAGTTGGAAGATGTTGCAATGATCTGAACCAGCAGTGACCTCAGAGGTGGTGGCCCTGGAAGGGATTGGCTCTCACCTGAGCTTCCACCTTTAGTTAAGGCTACAGCCTGGCTCCTGTCTACCGATCAGTTAAACATTGCAATCATGGAGCCAAAAGCTCACAAACTGGAGTGATTCATAGCACTGTAGGGACAGCTTACAATCCTGTTATCAGGCAAAGGTTTCCTAATGAAGACACTAGAAGCAATCGCAACAAAAGCAATCCTCACCAACACTTGATATTTTCTTTCTTTTGATAGTAGCTGTCCTAATGTGAGGTGGTGTCTCACTGTATCCTGCGCCGTTTTGATGAAGGAACATCAGGTCATGCTTCCTCTGCTGAACACCCTCTCAAGAGTATAAGCCTCGGCCTTCCTGGTGGCCTCCCAAGCCTGAAGGATTCCCAGTGACCTCTGGCCTCATCTCTGGATGATGCCCTGTCCTTCCCCCAAGCTGTTTCCCAAGCCCATCTAGCAGCCCCGATGTCCTTCTGTCTCTGCCTGATGTCTCCGCTTCACCGGTACTTCATATAAGGTCAGATCTTCAGAAAGGACTTCTCTGTTATTCCTACAAAATCAGCAGTCCCTCCTGTGTCTCTGAATCCCTCACTTGGTTTGCAGCCTTTCTTCTCTGCTGTATATGGAGCATCCAGAAATGCCACCTGGCACATAGTAGGTGCTTAGTATTTGCCAAATGAGTGAAAGAAAACTATAGTGAACTATAAACTAAGACTTCTGAGAGTTAGTGACATTTTTAGATATGAATTTATAGCCAGATTCTTACCAAATTCTATTTGTTTTCAGTGGATTCTCCTGGGTTTCCTGGTATATAATCATATCATCTACAAATAATGACAATTTTCCTATACTCCCCCCTTCTTTCCCTTTTTATATTTTCCAGAATAATAAATAACAGGGGTGATAGCAACAGCTTTATCTTGCTTCTGACCTTCCATGAAGTGTCTCTGAAATTCCACCATGGATGGCAAGTTAGTGTTGGCTTTAGATCTGAGGGATGAATTTTGTCATGCTGAGGAAGTACCGCGGGCTCCTGTTTTACTCAGGACGCTTTGATTACAGCCAAGGAAGAATGAAGGGGAGAAGAATGAAGGGTTAATGCTCATCAGCCCTCTTCAGCACCTATTGGGTATTAAGCTTTCTCTTTGACTCCTAGTGTGGGCATTATGGGTTTCCTACAACTGGACCGTCCTTGCGTCTGTACCTTTTAAACCCAGATGTGTCCCTGTGATGTGCAGCGAGCCCTTGTGGGCAGGGCCAGCCATGTCCCCTCGTCCCTTCGTCCCCTCAGGAGGCTTGCTGGGAACCGAGGCTGGCCGCGGTGGCAAGCTTCCCGGCGAGCCACTCAGGATGGCTTATTGTTTCTGAATTAAACAAACGAAGAATGAGATTCAATTAGAGGCAGCATAATGTAAACCGAGATGGATTTATATTTAGCATGGCAGAGACATGTGGGAAAGAAGGAAACTTCGTTCGTTTCAGAGTTGGGAAGTCTGCTTTGAAGTGTGGGGCTGGGCTTTCTGGATGCTGTCTTCACCTCCCCCAGACGCGCCCCCAGATGTTTCCCTTGAGATACTAAGCTTCTTGGGAAAGCAGCAGAGTTCAGTGGACAGCGAGCTTCTGATGCTTGCATGTAGGAGCCGCACTGTCGCTGTTAAAGCAGCTTGCAAGGACGAGGCTACATTGTCCCCATTTCCTCATTTCCAAGTGGGTTGATGGAACCTCAAAATCCTGGTATAATGTGATTAAAGAAGAAAAGAGTAGATTTTTTTGTTTTGTTTTGTTTTAATGATGAAGATGTCACTACATTGAATTTACTTTTCCCAGCCAAATCCTAGCGAGTGCCTTACAGGGGAACAGCACCCTCTTTGTTATAATTCTGTTTGGGTGGGCTTTCGGCAGGCAAATGAGATGGGAGATTTCATGGATGTTTCTTAATTGAGAAGAGAACATGAATGTGAAACCTACAATAGTAACAGCAAGGACCAGCACAGGACAAAGCCCACTGCAAACTGAGTGCCAAGTGTCATAGTCTGTAGTTTAATCCCCACATCGAACTGTCCTCAGGAGGCGGGTGTCGTCAGCCTGGTTAGGGCTGCGTGCTGCGTGCCAGCAGCTGGGCGGGGCGGTGGGTCTTCATCAGGAACAGAAAGACAGGAGACTTGCTTCTTTCTCTTCCAGACCTGTGTCTTTGGGATTTTCCATAATCTCTTCTGGTTTGCTGGGGCCTTTTTGTAAGAGGACAGCCTGTTCCATGGAGATGTCGTTCATTTGCTGGGAGCTGCCCTGAAGGAAGGAATCAGGAGGGAATAACCGATACAGATTTGTAGGCGTGACTTTATTTTGTAACAGGGATTTTAGAGTTTATAGCAGGAAGAAAGCAAAGGTGAGTCCAGGGCTCTTGTTGCCTGGGTAAAGAGAAATTGAGCTCGGGCTTCCAGAGTAAGAAGGAAGTGTTAAGCGAGTGACCAGCATGTCTCCTTTGGAGAACCTCTGGGAGCAGCCTGGGGGAGAGGGAGCCAGGCCTACAAAATGTCTCGAAACTGCCTCTGGGGAAGCCAAATCTAGGGCTCACCCTCCAGGAAAGAAGAAAATTTTGGATGAGCAGAAACAAAGTCTTCCTGGAATTTAAACGTGGACCCTGCATTTCTCTAATCGCTTTGCGTAAAGGAATATTTTGTTGTTTTGGAAAAGAAGCAGAAACTTGTTTAAATGTGTGTTTTCTTTTAATTAATTATGTTTTTCTAAACACTAAAGCATCATGACTTTGTGTTCCCTCCTCCCCACTTCCCCTCTCTTCTCTCAGCCCTTTTCCCCTTCTCCCTGCTCCCTCCCCCTAGAAAGCATAGACTGGGGCTGAACTAGTTCATGGAGACCAGCCTTCACGCAGGGGAGTCTGTGGGACAAAGGGTCTTCTGCAATCATGCTGTTTTAGGAAGATTAGGAAAAATGAATAACTTCCTTGGAAAAATTGGTTTGGAGGATTGTTTTCTTCGTTAGACCTCTGGAAAAAATTCAGTGATATTGCATGAAGGGAAAAGAATTAATACAGCTCTTCCTCCCCTTTTCTTTATTTTTATATCCAGGAGTCACTGGAAAAATCAGACCTTTTCCCATATCACAGACCCAGCAGCAGTTTGGGCGTGCTCTTGCCTGTATATAAAAAGCATGTCAAGACCGATTAAATTATCTAATTAAAATAATGACCACAGAGAGCCTGTTTATTTTGGCCTGAAGAAGGTCAGCTCCAAGGGCCCCTTCTGTCCTGCTGAGGGTCCCTCTTCAGCCACAAGCACACACAAGACCCATGATGACCTGGCTCCTAATAACCTGCTCCTAGACACGTCAGAGTGGGACTCATGCCACCAGTGGGGACAGGACTCATGCCAGCTGGGACAAAAGACCAATCTTTAAGACTCTAGACGTCCGTCTGTCTTTGTATCTGTATCTGTATCGGTATGGGTATCTGCGCTGATACTGTACTTTGTATCAGTCTCTGTATCGAAGCAGAACTTTGTATCAGTCTCTGTTCACCACAGCAACTTGAAGTGTGAGAAGTTCTGGTAAGGGTTATTTTTCATCTATACAAACATGGACAATTGTTTGACTCAGCTGACTGTAGTCTTGGGTCCTTTTTGCATCGTGAAGATAAAACCTCCACAGAGCATGTTGACCGGTAACAAGTGAAAAAAAAACGCTGCCAGATATTTTTCTTGGTGGTGTTTACACAGGGCTAGGTAATTGTTTGGACTAATTTGTTGTGAGATTGTTGGGCTGTCTTGACAATGTGCAGCTCAGCCTGAAGGGCACATTCCCGGGACCCTGTGCCACCGTGAGGATGCAGAGTATTAATGAGGGCTCATTCCATCAGGCTAGATCAGGGTTCTTTGGCCTGCGGTAAGATTTGGGGGCAGAATGTAAATATGCTGCACATGGTTTAATTTCAGGGAAGCCCGGGAGGAATGCACTGAGCCTGTCATCACTGCAAGCCCAGCGCAGGGTGTCAGCCCTGTGCAGGGTGTAGAAATGTTTCTGTGGGCTTCAGAGACTTGCTGTTTGGTCTTGCAGTGATTGAACAAAGTGCTCCCTTTTCGGGTGGTTGGTTCAATATCCTGTAAGTCCTTAGAATGGAGGCCACAGCCTTGGAAAGCCAGAATGTAAAGCCTCATTCTTACTTTCTCCCACGGTCCCAGGAGATGACAGTTGGATGAGCACTCTGCAGAGGGGCGCAGGGAGGCAGCCGTTTATTCAAGGGAAGGGGAAATGTTGCAGCAACAGGTGAGAAATAAAAATTTCCTTCCTTCCTTCCTTCCTTCCTTCCTTCCTTCCTTCCTTCCTTCCTCTCCCCCTTCCTCCCTCCCTCCCTCCCTCCTTCCCTCCCTCCCTCCCTCCTTCCCTCCCTCCCTCTCCCCCTCCCTCCCTCCCTCCCTTCCTTCCTTCCTCCCTCCCTCTCTCCCTTCCTTCCCTGCTTCCTGTCTTCCTCTTTGTTTTCTTCTTTCCTCTTTCCCTCATCTCTCTCCCTCTCTTTTTCCTTCCATCCTTCCTCCTACATTTAATGAGTAACTACTATGAGCTATAAGTGTTAGATTTGTGATATTTAATAATATTAACATTGACTAATATTTTTATGAAATTCCTTAAACTTTGGCATGAGCCATCTTACTTTGGGATACAGGAAGAGAAAAGGAGAGCAAAGTGTGAGTTTCTGTAGGAAAAATTTTTACAAAATGGTATCGAGATTATTTTTCAATTCTGGGTGCTCTTCATTTCTTTGTGTAGATCTAGATTTCTACCTGGTATAATTTTCCTTCTGCCTAAAGAATTTCCTTAAACACTTTTTGTCGTGCAACTCTGCTGGAGGTGAATTCCTTCAGCTTTTATATGTCCGAAAAAGGTTTTATTTTGCCTTCATTGTTGGGAGATTTTTTTTTTCTGGGTATAGATTTCCAGGTCAACAGTTTGTTTTTTTTTTTCTCCTTTCAATTCTTTAAAGATTGTGAACTGTTTCTTGTTTATCCTTCCAGAAATTTTCACTGCATTTGAAAGCCTAGACTTGAATCTTTATTTGTTTTTGTTAAAGAAGAATGGGCTGATTTCAGTGTCCATCTGTCTTTTGCTTCCTGATGCTCCTTTGGGTCTTTGCCTGTCGTTGCACACTGAACTATACTGGTTCGTTTTCTCGGCTGTATGGTGCACACGTGGTTACTGTGTCCCATTCAGCCAATCCCTTACTGTGGGAAGTTTAGACTTTCTGCCTTCTGTCTTTTTGTTGTTGTAGTAACAGTGTTCTTACTGATACATCTTTATGTTGTGCTGCTCTTAAAACGCTTCCTTGTTCGTGGGCGTGGACTGCATTCATTTGTTACTATTTAAAACTTTTGTGTTTTACTTTAAGTTCTGGGATACATGTGCAGGACGTGCAGGTTTGTGACATGGGTGTACATGTGCCATGGTGGTTTGCTGCACCTGTCAACCTGTCATCTAGGTTTTAGGCCCTGAATGCTTTAGGTATTTGTCCTAATGCTCTCGGGGGGTGGGGAGAGCACTTTTTTCCTATTCTAAAGTTTTTAGTACTCCTCCAGCATCACCCTTCCTCCTCATCTACCCCTGTCTGTCCCTCCACGATCTGCTATACGGAAACATCTAGAGGATGTTTTGTGTTGAGCGGAGGAATACGTGAGTGAACGAATGAATGACGGGGGGGATGCCAGGCAATTCTTGCAGCAGCACGTGCTCAGTGCCCCTTCCTCGGAGTAACAGGCAAGCCCGTGAGTTGAGCACCTTGCGGGAAGCTGCACAGGCCTCGGCGAGGCCAGCTCCTGAGGTGTCGTCTGTCGTTTTGGGGTTTACGATAAGGTGGCTGTCTTCCAAAGCATGAAGTCATTGCAGAGCTCTGGCATCAAGGTGCGGACCCATTCTGTGAAGCCCTGGGTTGGTCTTCCTGGGAGGCTTGGCACTAAGCAACGGGCAGAGGGTGGGAGCCGGGGAGGTTCACAATAGAAACAGATAAGACACTTCAAGAAAGCCCGCGCTGTCCTGCACTGGCAGGCTCTGAAATGATAGCCTATCATTGTGCACACAAGAAGGGGAACAAAACCAACAGTGCACATGGAAAAACTGTCCAGCGTGTCCAGAGGAGGGTCTGATATGTCAGACTTGTGTGCCAGAGAGAAGCCCTGGGGACAGACTGACCTCCAAACCGAGTTACCAGGCCTCCTACCCCAGATTCCTCTCCTGCTCAGATGCCAGCTGGGGGGCAAACACCTGGGGCTGGGGTTGCACTTCTGCACCATGGGCACTGCTCCAGAGTCTAGCACCTGTAGACCAGGAAGAGAGTCACACAAGGGGCTTGGGGAGTTAACCCACATGACAGCTGGATCATTCAGCCTCAGATGGACATAGGTGCTAGATGGGATGCCAGTGCTGTAGTTTGAATTTTTGACCCCTAAAACCTCATACTGAGATCTGATCCTTGATGTTGGAGGTGGACCTGAGGGAGGTGTTTGGGTTGTGGGAGTTGGACTAAGACAGCCAGGCAGTGGGAAGTTGGGAGACACCAAACTAACCAATTGGTCTTGTCAGTTTTTATTAGAATGCTTGAAATCATCTTAATGCAGTTTACATATGTAACACACACACACACAGGCACACACACACACACACACACTCTCACCCCCTTCATAGAGCAATAATCCCTGACTAAAAGTTGATGTGAGCAAATTAGCTTTCTTTTAATTTCTTAACTTCTACAACCAAGATTAAATCTATGCTTCATTGTTCTATGCTTCTGTGCATGGAGCACCTAGGTTTTGGTTTATCTGCAGTTGCTGCAACCACACTGTTTACCTAGATGCTCAGTTGCTAAGAGAGAGGCCAAGGGGGCAAGCTGTTGGGACTTGTGATTGGGGTGAAAAGACAGGGAGAGAGAACGAGGAGGAGGAAAAGGAAGAGAGAATGATCATGCCCCGGAGGTTTCAGACATCTGCGTGTCTCAGGTTGCATTCCAAAGCCAACCTCTCCCTTGGCATAGGAAAGACTGCTTTGGATAATCTGGGGCTCTGCTGTCAGCCAAGCTGTAGCCAGATGAGCTATAACTCGGTTTACCCAGAGGTTCTTGAAAGTGACATCATGAGGGGATGGGCGTTGACCAGGTAGTATGTCAATTTATGTAAACAAAGCTGATATCCTTTGTTGAATCAAGCATTCTCCGAACTTATTTGTCTGTAGAACTTTTCTTATTTTTTAAAAAATTTTAAAGTAAAACATATTGACATCCCATGGAACTCTGTCTCCAGAGCCAGGCTGCTGAGGAAAGAGTCCTGTCTCCGCAGCGGGCAGCAGGAAGGGCTTTTCGGAATGGAAGTGTCACTGGATGTCGTTTGGAAAACCCTGTCTTACCCAGAAGATGCTCAGGGAAGTTCACTCATTAGGGGGAGGCTCATTCTTATTCTCCATACCTCTGAGTAGTTTGTAGACATAAAGATGTGGTCCCCAATTTCAACCAAGTAGCCGCAAAGATGAGAATACGCAGTCAGACATGAATATACATACTCCATTAATATAGTCGATTTTACGGATTGCTACCAATAAAAAGTTCTATCACATTTATTTTTAAAATTAGATTTGAAGTTAATTTCATTTTGACATGATTTGAGATAATTTTATGTAATATCCTCTAAAAAGCTAGGATTAGAGTGGATTAAAATAAACAGAACTGGAAATACTTTATTCACTCAGTCACTCACTCAAGTTTGTCTAAATGGACGTCCAGATGATCAAAAAGACGGCATCTGCCCTTGTAGTCTAAAGTCACACAGACATTCGTATTTTCTGAGGATCAAGGATTACAAATCCATACACTGTACAAATTCCATAGAGGTTAAACCTCACTTCGTAAATAGGTGTTGACTTTTAAAACTGACAATCAGACATTGCAGCTGCATGCTGATAAAACTGTCATTCCTCCCTAGTTTTTGTTAGAATCCAGTGAGTACTAAAAAAAAAAGAAATAAAAATCCTGCCTACATGAGTTACTGAGTGAGACAATCCAAGTGGGAGGTGCAGCCTCCGCAGCCCTCACCCCAGCTGGTCCACCTGCAGGATGCCTCTGCCAGGCCCAGGCTGCGTCTCCATGGGGCAAACCGCTCACCTGGAGTCCCCGAGGAAGGGAGCACATAGGCGGCCCCCTTCAGAGCCTGGATGTCCCGGGAGGGGCATGGCATTTCTGGGAGTGATGACCTTGTGCAGGAAGGGACGGCCCACTGGGGGCAGCTCTAAGTGGGGAACTGCATGACCGGCAGTTAATCAAACGCGTGGAATCAACCAGACCCAGGAGCCTCACAGCCCCTCTCTTCCTTTAAAGCTCCCTACATAACTACTCCTGCCCACATCATGCCCGCCCTGCCTAGCACAGGCCACAGAAATAGCTGTCCCCAGGCCACGGACGTGAAGCGGAGCGGGTGGAGAGAGGAGAGAACAGAAGCCAGGGGGCACCTGCGGAGGAAATGGTGGGGAGACAGAGGAAAACCTCCCAGGTCTGCAGCGGGAGTGGCAGAGCGTCAGCTTTTCTGCTGACAGTTCCAGATGCATCTCTGGACCAGGAGTGCAAAGCTCTGAGTCCTGGTCCCTACCCTGTCACCAAGCCCCACGGCGATCTCAGGCTAATCACTCCTTTCTCGGTAAAATAATAGGCCAGGGCCAGATAACCTGCAAACTGGCGCCTCCCACCCTTACCCAGTTCCCCTGGGAGGGGGCTCCTTCCCTGGGTTCCTGCAGATGTGACCTGTGCAGCAGGCCTGTGCTTATGCTCAGAGCTACACCGTCACAGTGCACAGGGAAACCTCGATTCTGGGTGTCGTTAGGACACGACGAAGGCCCAGGCATGCCCCGAGCCCCTGGTGACTCCTCTAGGCGGGCACAGGAGTGTCTCGAAGCTATTTCCCTCCTGAGCACCGGCCGCCTTCCCGTTCCCTGCTAATCTCTACGTTCTCACTGGGCTGAGCACCTTTGTTCTTGGCATGGGAATTTCCATGTGTTGAATATGCTTAAAACATTTTTTGAGAGGTTGCCTTTCTAAATATTTTGGTTCTTAACTCGAGAGTTTTGCTGCTTTTCAGAGGTGGTTTCCTTTTTATGTGCTTAACTCCTGCTGGGAGAGATCAGAGTAACCACCTGTGCCCGTGGAATTTCAAGTCTACCACGGAGGATAAAAGCCACAATAGTAGCTAGAAAGAAATGAGAGCGAGAAGTCCTGTCTGCACCCCCTTCCCTGCTCTGTTTTTCTACACAGAGGGCAAATGTGAAAGTGGAAACCATAATATTGCCCCACAGAATGAAAACATCTGGGGTTTGGCTCCTTTTTCCTGTCTTTGGACAACATTTATTATTATCTTGAGATCTAACACACCTATTTTTGCCAAGCAAACGGTGTTATGATGGTGAGTGAGGTGGGAAGTGGGGCCACGGAGCCCTTACCGGCTTTCTCCCTTCCTGAGCTTCTCTGAACTGACGGGCCCTTGGTGCAGCTTCAGCCAGCTAGGGCTTCATTCCTTCCTCTGTCAGCCTTGCGAGTCTTGGACGTGCTTTCCTCGCTGAGTTGTCGGCGTCTCTGGTTTTCTCACTGTGCACTGTGCACTGTGCCGGGCACAGAGTGTCTTCCTACCATCCTTGCTGGGGTCCTCTGCCATTTGTGGAAGCCACGTCTACACCTCACACTGTCTTCTCACAGGGCAGCCTCTGCCACCTTCCTAACTGTCTGTGATGGCTCACTGTCTTCTCACAGGGCAGCCTCTGTCACCTTCCTAACTGTCCTGTGATGGCCTCACACTGTCCTCTCTGGGCAACCTCTGTACCTTCTAACTGCCTGTGATGGCTCACCTTCTCTAGGGCAGCCTCTGCCACCTTCAAGCTCCATCTGTGGTGGCTCACTGTCCTCTCACAGGGCAGCCTCTGCCACCTTCAAACTGTCCTGTGGTGGCCTCTGTCTCTCAGGGCAGCCTCTGTTGCCTTCCTAACTGTCCTGTGATGGCCTCACACTGTCCTCTCACAGGCAGCCTCACCCACCTTCCAAACTGTCCTGTGATGGCCTCACACTGTCCTCTCACAGGGCAGCCTCTGCCACCTTGACTTCCTCTGTGGTGGCCTCCTGTCCCTCTCACAGGGCAGCCTCTGCCCCACCTTCCAAGCTGTCCTGTGATGGCCTCTGTATGTCTTCTCTACCGAGCAGCCTCTGCACCTTCCTGCTTTGTCATATTGGCCTCTGTCTTCTCTCACAGGGCAGCCTCTATCACCTTCCACTGTCCTGTGATGGCCTCACACTGTCCTCTCACAGGGCAGCCTCTGCCACCTTCCAAACTGTCCTGTGATGGCGTGCAGGACTGCAAGGTCACTTCGCAGAGCCTCTGTTTCCTCATTTATAAAATGTGAATCACATCTGTCTTCTCGTTCTCCTGAGGTGGAGGTGGAGGTCAGGTGCCCTCCTGGCACATCCGGTGCTCTCTCCGTCATGGGGAGGGGTGAGGAGGGAGGATGGTGCTTCCAGGAAAGCAGAGCTGAGGCCGCTGGACTCCAGGCAGCTCTCTGCTCTCCTCGCCTTTTGCCTCAGGTAAAAAAAAATAAGTGCAATGGCCCAGAACACAGTCACCCTCCTCGTTCCCCGTTGGCTAGGATGGAAGGCATTGCTCACAGGGTAACAGGGGATAGTGGTGACTGGAGGGGCCTTGCAGTGTCTCATTTGCAGAAGCCACTGGGACGGTGATTTCTGCGGAGCGGGAGGGCTGAGAGGCGTGGGTGGTCCTTGCTTCCTGCAAGATTCGATTCGGTCTGATCCGCCTACCCGGCCAGCTCTCTGCCTCTCACAGCGAGCCTCTGGAGACTGGGAAGGGGCTTTGCTCACCTGCCAGTGCTCCTGTACTCCGACTCTGCAGACCCCGCTCCAGCCTCACGCCTTGCACCACACACATCAAAGCAGCATCTCTCAGGCCAAGCCCTTCCCCATTTCTGCTGTGCTCCTGGCATGCGGCTAACCCCGCATGGCCTCCTGCATTGAGTCATGGATACTGGAGATGGGAAGGGCTTTAAATGCCAGTTGGTCAAGGCTCATTTCACATAGGAGGGAAATGAGATCCAGAGAAGCTGAACAACTTACCTGAGGTCACACAATTTGCAGTGTAGAATTGCATGAGAACCCCGCTCTTCAGCTCTCAGCCAGCGTCCTCGTGCTGTGTGAAGTGATGGGTGTATTGGCCGTAGCTCGGGATGTGCTACACCCGGTGCATGTGCTTATCCTTTTATAAGCTGTGTTCTGTAAGCATTGCTGTAGGAGGCAGGGTGGAGAGATGGGAGAGGGCAGTGCTCAGAGGTTCTGAGTTCTAGTCCTGCTGGCACCAGCTGGCTGTGATCCTGGGCAAGACCTGCTGCCTCTTTGAGGCCTGTTTTTCTTGTTTTAAAGTGAAAAGTTTGGACTGCAAGGCCTCTTTCAGTTTTAAAAGTCTGAATCAAATCCCAGAACTTTGGGAGGCCGAGGCGGGTGGATTGTTTGAGGTCAGGAGTTTGAGACCAGCCTGGACAAAATGGTGAAACCCCGTCTCTATTAAAAATACCAAAAAAATTAGCTGGGCATGGTGGTGTGCACTTGTAGTTCCAGCTACTTGGGAGGCTGAGGCAGGAGAATTGCTTGAACCCAGGAGGTGGAGGTTGCAGTGAGTCGAGATGACGCACTGCACTCCAGCCTGAGAGTCAGCCTGAAGACCGAGTGAGACTCGGTCTTAAAAAAAATGTCTGAATCGGTCACTAAATGATGGGCCCACATTGAAAGAAAGCCTGCTATTTGAAGATGCTTGCTAGTGAATGCCGGGTCCTTTTGAAAAGCAAACACTCCGTCAGTTGTTGTTGGGATCATTTCAGATTTTTGCATGTCAGTTGGTCTGGAGAGGAGCTGATGCCCTGGAGGTGCTGCCTGGCTGTGAACTATGGAAGCCAAGAGCTCTGGTAGGGTAGGAACTGAGGGTCCACTACATTTGCCCCAAGAACATCCTTGCTGTCCTCGCCAAGGGAGCCTGGCACGTGTCATGCTTGGCAGTTGTTTTCATGAGACTCCCCTGCTTTGACAGCGACAGGACACGGGGCCCTGAATGCATGATAACAACAACTGCAGGTCCCCTGAGCCTTGTTGGTAGAGGTGGGTCATCTCTAGTACCGACCTCCATCCCCCTGAGAAGCCGGCCTGGCCACTTTGCCACCAGCCCCAGCCCTGCCCTGGAGGGATCTGCAGTGTAAACGGACCGTGTGAATGCTGGGATCTGCAGTGTAAACGGACCGTGTGAATGCTGGGATCTGCAGTGTAAACGGACCGTGTGAATGCTGGGATCTGCAGTGTAAACGGACCGTGTGAATGCTGATTTTTACAAAGGCCCAAATGTGGTCAATTCAGTTATTCATACCAGGCAAGGAAGCTGCCTTATGAATAATTCAACGTTGTTGCAAATCCACAGACCTTTTTCACATTGCCTGCTTATAGTAGGCTCTCCATAAATGTTTACTGAATAACTGAATAAATTAACATATGAATGAATATTTTGCAATAAGCTTTTGGTATTTACTTTTGCACATCCGTCTGTTGATATTCTGTGGATCAGCAGACGTCCTCACAAAGGGGCTCAGGCATGCTCCCAAAACAGGCCTGGAGCACCCAGAAAAGCCACGTGGGCCATGGTTCTCCCTTGCTCTGCAACAGTGGCGGGGAATAGGAAAAAAGTGTCCCCGTGGCTGATCCAGCCTCTAACCGGAAGCTGTGAGATTCCTCACACAGGCCGTGCCTGATTTGTGTGGCTTACCACTTTCATTCTGCTTTTATAACCCTCTCCTCTAGCCTTGGTTAAAGCTACCATGTGGCCAGCAGAATGGTCCCCCAAAGGCGTTCGGGCCCTCACCCCTGGAAACTGTGACTATGTTCCGTCGTGTGGGAAGAGGGCTTTACAGATGTGATGAAAGGTATGGACCTCACGATAGAGAGATCATCTGGAACTCTCTGGGCAGGCCCAGCTAAATCACATGTGCCCTCAAAAGCAAAGACCTCTCTTCACTGGCGTCTGAGAGGTGGGGCTGAAGGAGAGGTGGGAGGGATGGAAAGGTGAGAAGGCTCCATGGGCTGCTGGGGGCTTGCAGAGGGAGGGGCACTGAGTCCAGGAATGCAGGTGGCCCCAAGGAGCTGAAAAGGCCTGGAACCAGTGGAGAAATTGGGACTTACACCCTGTAGCTATCAGGATGTGAATTCTCCCAACTACATAAGTGAGCTTGGAAGTGGAATCCTTCCTGGAGCCCCCAGAAAGGGACACAGCCCTGCCAACACCTTGATTTTGACCTTGTGGGACCCTAAGCAAAGAGCCGACTGAGCCACCCTGTGGCTGGACTTCTGACCCACGGAAACTGTGACCAATATATGGGCGATGTTTTAATTTACCAACTTTCACAGCAGCGTGCTAACAGGGCGAACAAATGTCACGGTGGCTTTGGACACGTGGCTTTAGCTCTCGGGACCCTGCTTCTTCCCCCTGAGTCTGAAGGGTTGGGTCACACCATCTCTGACACCTCTCCCAGCTCTCGGGTTCTAGGATTTGCTATCAATGATACCAACAGTTTTTGGAATCAGGCTTGGGAGTCAAGCAGGCTGGGTTCAGGTTACCACTTTACAGCTTGAAGCTGTGCTGCTTTTTTCTGTGTTTTTGTTCCTAATCTGTACACAGGGATAATAACACTGCCTTATAAGGTTTTAACGATTACATGGGATCATGCATGAAAAGAAACTTGGCTCATAGTGTGTACTTGATAAATACCACTTCCTTTCTCTACCTCATTTTTATAGTCCTGCCATTGCAAGCTGGGTTGCCCCCCATGAAACTCAAGGAGGCATCTCAGCAAGTTTCAAGATTTCCATCCTCCTGTAGCTGGGACTTTCGGCTAAAGCTCTAGGAACAAGGACATGACTCGGGACTGGCTATGGTTACGAAGAAGCTGAGAAGCGCACAGAACTCTAAGAAGCAGGCACATTTGGGATTTGCTATCAATCTCAAACCCCAGCAGCCCAGCCTGGGGTCCCTGTCAGGTTTCTCACTAGTGGGGAAGACCTCAGGTCCAGGCGACTGTTATCCGGGAGCAGGAGCTGGTTCTTTCCTTTTGGACTCCTGGGTGTCAGGCTGGCTCAGTTCTGCAGCTTCGGGACATCAAGCAGGAGGTTGGTGTCACTTACTCTGACATGTGATGTAGCTCTAGACTGTTCCAGGCTTTCTGGTGTGTTTGTTTAACGGGATTTGCCATCTGGAGTTCAGAAAGCTGACTGATCCAAAGAGAGGGATTTTGCAGTGGGCTCTTCAGTTTTCCGAAGCTCAAGTGTAGCTTCTTTCATCGTTCTTTGCGACGGCCCCTGCTCCGGTGTAAATGACATGTTAGGTCACTTAGTTCTTCAAGGATGACAGGTGCCTGACCACAGGTGGGGATAACACCTGAAGTCCCCACGGGCCTATTGCCACTGCTCTCAGCCTTCTGCTGGACTCACAAACTTTATGATGTTGCCAACAGGCACTTCTTCCCCTGGCTCCTCTTGGAAGCAGCTAGGACCTTCATCAGGAACCCAGCTAATAAAAAAACCACATTATTTCCTCATGCTCTGGGATAGCTCTGACTCATGATCAATAAACCACACTGTACTGTCTTTGGAAATGGTAGCAGAAAAACTTTATGTAAATGTAAGTTAGGGAAATATCCAGTCCTATTTTACTAAAGTCCTGACCCCTAAAATGGCAGGTATATATACATTAGGATAATTTGGGTGACATTTTAGCTTGGAAAATCTGAGCAACTTTTCCATAATTGTGTCAGTTCCCTTTTCACTGGGCCCACAGGGATTTAAACACAAGAACAATCTCAGAGGACATCTGAGTTGAGATAAAACACGGGGTTAGCAGGTATTTTGGCCGACTCAGAGCCTAGGTTCAAATTCTGGCTCTGCACCTTACTAGCTATGTGATATTTGGCAAGTTACTTCACCTTTCTGGGTCTCAGTTTCCTTATCTGCAAGGGTAGCTATGAAGTTTAAAGGAATTTAAATAGGAAAATATATAAAGCATTCAGAACTTCGCTTGGTACCAGGCAAGTACATGGTATTAGGTTGGTGCAAAAGTAATCAGGTTTTTGCCATCACTTTCAATGGCAAAAACCTAATTACTTTTGCACCGACCTAATATAAATATTAGCTGTCATTGTGGAGTCTTATTACTGTCTTCATATGACCAGACATCACTGATCCCCTGAGCCAATCCTCTGCATGAGAATGAACCAGTCCGAGGCCAGGCGTGGTGGTTCACACCCAGCACTTTGGGAGGCCGAGGTGGGTGGATCTCTTGAGGTCAGGAGTCCGAGACCAGCCTGATCAACATGGTGAAATCCCATCTCTACTAAAAAAAAAATACAAAAATTAGCCGGATGTGGTGGGCGCCTGTAATCCCAGCTACTTGGGAGGCTGAGGCAGGAGAATCGTTTGAACCTAGGAGGCAGAGGTTGCATTGAGCCGAGATCGCCCCACTGCACTCCAGGCTGGGCGACACAGTGAGACTCTGTCTCAAAAAAAAAAAAAAAAAAAAAAAGAAAAAGAAAAAGAGAATGAACCAATCTGATCCTATGAAGCAGTGAGCCTTGGATCAATCTTTTCACGTGGGATCCTCCTTGGGTAACTGGCGCTACGGCCCAGCTCCTCCTCCAGCACCTCTTCTCTTGCAGAATCTTTGGGAACTGGCTGGCAGTGGAATTCTCCAAGTCAGGTGAAGTCACTGTCTCTCATGTACCAAAATTGCTATTCCAGATGGACACACTGTTTTTTCTAACACATTTCTAGGACTCAGCTTAAAAAAAAATTATGTCAATAGCTTTATTGGCTCCAGATCAGCAAAAGAAAAAAGGGATCAGAAAGCTCTGCCTTTCAACAGAGCAATCAAAAACGCTGAACCTGTCTTCCCCCAAAAACTTATTTATGGCTTTCCTTTCCGAATTCTTTCCTTGTGGTGGTTAGACATGCACAGAGTCTTTGAAGTGGCTTAGACATGTTTTCTGCATGTGTGAGCAGCTGTTTCCCTGCAGGGTTGGTTTGGAAGCAGGTTTTCCTTATGATTTCTAGTCATCCACCAGAAGGTCTGTCATGGGATTTTGCACGGGACTTGGTCATGGTGGACAAATAAGAGGGTTGTAGAGGTGATTCCGCACCCCTACTGTGGTCTTCAAATGCTCCTCTCAGGCGACACCCTTCGAGGCTCTGGAATCCACCCCTGGGGGTGTGACTCCCCCCTTCCTCCTGTGCTCCCACGTTGCTCCTGTGTCAGAAGCTGCGTCATATCAGCTATGCACATGATAAATCGAAAGCGAAGCTGCAGTGCAAACATCACTGGGGCGGCTTTCCTGTCACTCCCAGGACCCCAGCGCCAGCATCCAAGCCCTCCTCAGGGCTTGCGCTCTGACTGGGTGATGTGTCCGTCCAATCGTGACTGCACAGTGATCTCTCCAGTCTCTACTTTTCTTCTAAAAGCAAAACCTACCCTTCCACGGCTACATATTGATTAAATGAGGCAACACATAAAGTAAGGATAGGCAATGCACAGAAAGCACTCAGAACTTTCTTGTTACCACTGTCATGATCGCATGCTGGTCTAAGCAGGGCTTTCGGACAAATAAAGGCCCCAAAGGCTGCATCAGTCATTCACCCATATTTCAATCTCTGTCTCACTCTCCTGTCTTAGAAAAAAATAAACCTCCTGTGATTCGGGGTCCCCTGTGGCTACCTTATTATCTCTTTTGTTACAAAGTCAGTATCCAGGAGATTTACATCATTGACATTTTCTCCACTTCCCCTCAACCTGTAACCCCCGCCGTCAGGCTGTGCCCCCATCGGCGCTCTAGACCCCGGCATCCCACCATGGTCAAGCCCAGAGGCCTCATTTGAGGCTGTGGAACTGCCCTGTTCAGTAGCTGTGCAGAGGGATACAGAACACTACAAATGTAGGAATTTGTACATTTGTACAACGAACAGAATTTTTATTTATTTTACACTTAAAAACAGATACTTTATTCAGTTGTTGAAAAACTTTTAAGTACAATTGGAACCACTTGCATCTGTGAATGTAGTTTTTCGACTGTAAATTGTATAAACTCTAAATACAGATCAAGCATTTCTGATGAAACTTTGGTGTCTGAATTGAGATGTGCTGTAAGTGTAAAATGTGACGTCGGGTTTCCAAGATTTGGTTCCAAAAAAAGAATGTAAAATATCTTGATCTTTAAGATCTTCATTACATTTTGAAATCACAGCATTTTGGCTATATTGGGTTGAACAAAATATATTATTAAAATGGATTTCATGTTTTGGTTTTCTTTTTAGGGTGGCTACTAGAACATTGGCAACTTGCATTTTATTTCTGTCGTTCTATGTGCATTGGGCATTTGCTCCTTGAAATTATCTGGCTTCTGAGCTCCAGGCTCTCCTGCCGCCTCTCCCACCCCAGGCCTTTCTGTTTTCCCCCTGTAGATTGGTGGCCTCACAGCTGCTCCTCAGGGTTGTGCTTCCAAGGGTCCTGTCCTAGCACTTTTTCTCTGTCACATGGTACATCTTGCTGTGGGACTGCCCCATTGCTTTTTGCTTGTGCACCAACTTCTAACATTTGCTGAGCCTTTCTGCAGACCATTGCAGCACAATCTCCTCTGACACCAAACTCAACATGCTCCAGGTCATTCTATCCCCTTCCTGCAGAATCCTCATCCTCTTTCTGGTTGCTGTCCCTCTGAACTGTGTCCAAATCATTCCTGCTAGAAACTGGGGGCAGCCCAGAGTCCTCCCTCACTCTCATGCCCAACCATCTCAACAGATACGGATCCCACAGCTTATCTCCAGTAAATACAATTCAATCAGCACCCCTCTGGTCTGCACCAGGCATGAGCCATGTCCCCATGACCCCCCTGTCCTCATGGCCTCCTGTCCCCATGGCCTCCTTTCCCCATGACTTCCTGTCCCTGTGGCCCCTGGTCACCATGGCGTCCTGTCCCCATGACTTCCCTATCCCCAAGGACCCCCTGTTCCCATGGCCTTTTGTTTCTATGGCCTCCCTGTTCCCTAATCCCCGGTCCCCACCCTCTCTCCTTGTCAGCCAGTCTCTGGGTCTAGCCAGAGGAAGGTTTGTAACCTGACAGACTCACCTGCTTAATTCTCTTCAGTGGTGTGGATTTATTAGGAAGATTGCTAAATGCTTCTTGATATGTTAGGAATCCTGCTTGAAATCTGAAGAGGGAGACGCTAGGGCAGAGAAGCATAAGGTACAGTCCTCATTTTCATTCTGTTCCTCAGGACGGTACAAAGGCCCTTTGTCCACTTCTCCATCTCCCATTCCCTTTCAGTCTGCTCCAAGCTCCCTCTGTGCCAACAGGTGTCCCTGGCCCTCAGCTGCTCCATGCTGTGACCCAGCCTCCCATCCTGCCCACTGGTCACCTCCACCTTACTCCTCCCTGGCATCTCTACAGATCCTCCACCCATGTAGGGAGGCACCCTCTCTCTTCTGTGCCCCTCTGAACCACGTGGCATCTCTGTCACATTACCTTCTGACTGACTGTCCCTGGGTCTTATCAGCCTGACCTCAAACCACATCGCATTAAGATTAATGTTCAAATCATGGCCAGAACTGCAGGGTGTCAACTGGGGCTCAGCTGCCCCGGCATCCCTGTGAGCCCTCTGAGAGGTTGGCCCAGAGCCGGGGCTCAAGTCCATGTTCCTCTCCCCGGACCCCTGAGATGCCTCACCCTGGCCTGTGCCAGGAGGAGTGTGGCCTAGGAGTGTTGGGGGCATTAAGGGGTACGTTGTTTGCAGAGAATTAAAAAAACAGTGATTAAAAATTAAAACCAACTCGAGGTTCATCTGCTTTCCAGTATCACCCTCCTCTGGCAATTCTAAACAATGGCAGAGAGAGAGCACTGCTCCCCACCCCCAGGGTGGCGTCTCCCTCTGCAGCCCCTGCGCCACTCAAAGCATTTGTCCTAGCCACTTATCCCACCGTCTTACCATAATTGCTGGTCTACTTCTCTACAGCAACTACTAAACCATATTATTTTAAGGGTAGAAGCTAGATTTTATATTTATTTTCTCAGGGCTTAGCATAATCTACAATAAAGAATGTATTAAAAAACTTATTGAATTAATAAATTAATAGATTTTCTCAATTTATCAGAATATCAAAAGCAGGAAGTCCTTTGTCAACTAAATGAGTGGTAAGAAGACAGTAGGAATTTATTTAAAATAATCTTGCATTATTCTAAGGTTACTAGGGTGCCAGCCAATGTTTTACACTTTTGTTTTATGGTACAGGAAAGGGATTATTGCATGCAGAATGTGAATTTGAAGTCCTTCAGGATTCTGATCAACAGCAAGAACTTTAATGAATGCATTCATTACTATTTCTTAGCATGTACTAGGGCTTGGGCTACAGAGTAAAGCGGGAAAATGGACCTATGCATTTTACTGAGATTTCAGCATTGACAGTAGAATTGTTCTGGTGAATACTGAACTTAGAAGAAGGTCCAACTAAGCAGATGTGGAATTTTGCAGGCATTTCCCAGGATAAAGTGACATATTCCTCTCCCTCCTGGTGAAGTTTCAGCTCCATTAATCATGACCACTTGGACACTTCAATGAACTCATGGAAACAGTCACTGCCATGCTCTGAGGAGGTCTATTGATTTCTAGGTGCCTTTGCAATTCATGACCGAGATCAGAAAGTTTTCAGCCATCTGCACAGATTCTATTCATCCCTCTGTGTGTGTGTGTCACATGTGTGCGCAGAAGAAAGGCTTGCCAAGTTTATCAGCCGGAGTCTTTACAGATCACGTGAAAGTCTTGTTTTCTTTTTAAGGAGAAGCCTCTGGTGTCTGATGCCTTTGATCTGGGCAAGAGACAGCCTTGCCTTTGTGTACAGTGGAGGTGAGTGACCATCCAAATTACACAGATGAACTCACTGAAATTGTGGAGGGTGTAGTAGTTACTTTGGTTTAATGATTTACAGCCATGCTTTTGAATATTAAAAGGTCATTTGCTTTGAAAGTCTGTCTACAGTTTCCTAGATCAGTGGCAAAGTATGAATCTCAGTTTGTCAATATTACAAGTGTGTTTTGGGGCAAGATTTTTTCACTGGGCAAGAAATAAGGGTTATTTTAGTCATGTACATATATCTCTAAGAACATTCATAAAAGCTGGTGTGAAATAGGATGTGTAGAAAATGTTAAAGAAGTCTTTTTGAAATAGGCTTTAATGTGCAGACTTGGACCTTAACCCAACCCTGGTGTCCATCTTTCTTCCATGGAGTTTTTCCTTCCAGGCTGAAGCTGTGATGTGAGCTGCAGGCGGCCTGAGCAAGGGCCCACAGTCAGAGGGCTGACCCTCACCATGGTGGATGGGGCTAATACTTCCACAGTCACGCACAGCCTAGCCACAGGGGCACTTTGGAGATAGGCATCCGTAGGTGATTTCATCATTGTGCGAACGTCACAGGGTGCACTCACACAAACCTAGTGGGTGGAGCCTACCACACACTGAGGCTGTGTGGTGTGGCCCATTGCTCCTATGCTGCAAACCTGTGCAGCATGAGACGGTAGTGAGTACTGCAGGCCATTGTAATACAGTGTTTATGCGTCTACACATATCTAAACATAGAAGAGGGACGACAAAAATATGATATAAAAGGTAAAAAATGGCAGTGAGTGGTGAGTGAATGTGAAGACCTAGGACATGACGTACATCAGGGGTCTCCAAGCCCAGGGTCAAGGACCGGTACCAGTCCGTGGTCTGTTAGGAACCGGGCTGCACCACAGGAGGTGAGCGGCGGCGGGGGCATTACTGCCTGAGCCCACCTCCCGTCGGATCAGCTGCAGCATTAGATTCTCACAGGAGCACAAACCCTGCTGTGAATGGCGCATGCGAGGGATCCAGGCTGTGAGCTCCTTATGAGAATCTAATGCCTGATGATTTGAGGTGGAACAGTTTCATCCTGAAATCATCCCCGCGCTGGTCTGTGGAAAAGTGGTCTTCCATGAAACCAGTCCCTGGTGCCAAAAATGCTGGGGACCAACCGCTGATGTACATGACTGTAGACTTTATGAACACTGTGCACTTGGGCTACACTAAATTTATTTTAAAAACTTTTTCTTCATTAGTAAATTAACCTTAGCTTACCCTAACTTTTTTACTTTGTCAACTTTAAATTTTTTAACTTTTTGACTCTTGTAGTAATACTCAGCTTAAAACACAAACACATTGTACAGCCGTACAAAAATATTTATATTCTTATTCTATAAGCTCTTTTCTATTTTTACTTTTTTTTTTTTCTTTTTAAAGTTTTTTTGTTAAAAACAAAAGCACAAACCCACACATTAGCCTAGGCTACACAGGGGCAGGATCATCAATATCAGTGTCTCCCCCTCCACATCCTGTCCCACTGGAAGGTCTTCAGGGGCAATAACACGCAGGGAGCTGCCATCTTCTAGTGTAACAATGTCTTCGGGATACTCCTTGAAGAACCTGCCTGAGGCTACTTTACAGCTACCTTTTTTTTTTTTCTTTTTTTTTTGTGGTAAGTAGGAGTACACTCTAAAATAACAATAAAAAGCATGGTAAATACATAAACTAGTAACATAGCCATTTATTATCATAATGAAGTATAATGTACTTTACATAATTGTATGTGCTAGACTTTTATAGGGCTGGCAGTGCAGTAGTTGGTGAGCAATGGGCCATGACATCAGGACAGTGATGATGTCACCAGGCAAAAGGAATTTTCCAGCTCCATTATAATCTTACGGCACCACCGTCATCTGTGCAGTCCCATTGGCTGAAATGTCTTTATGCAGCACGTGACTGTATGTATGTGTGTGTGTGTGCAGGGTGGGGGGCCATGTAGCTAACCTTTCATCTGAGGTCTGGATTCACATAAGCAGCCTAAGGTTGTGGCCAGGCTGGTGAGTCCTGGTGCTAGTCGGGTTCCAAAGGTACTATGAAGTCTCCATGGGGTTTCGCTAAACTGGGTCAACTTAGCTAAGCTGGGAAGATCTTTGCCAGGTCAGCGTTCACCACAGGAGAAATCTGAAGGCCTTGGAAGGGGTGAGTCAGGAGCGGGTCTGAGCAGGGGAGGTGCTGCTGTCACTCAAGTCCCAGGTGACCGCCTCAGGCCGCAGCAGCGCCAGCTTCCCGAAGGTCCTCCATCAGTTTCAGCGAAGGCTGCAGGTTGCCTGCATCACAGGCTGATGAGAGGCAGTGAGAGACGCTTGGTGATGTGGTTTGGATGTTCATCCCCTCTAAATCTCATGTTGAGATGTACTCCCCGCCCGCCTCCCCCCGCCCCCGTGTTGGAGGTGGGGCCTGGTGGGGGGTGTTCAGGTCATGGAGGCAGATCCCTTGTGGTTTGGTGCTGTCCTCACCACAGTGAGTGAATTCTCTCCGAGATCTGGTTGTAAAAGTATGTGGTGCCTCTCACCACTCTCCCTCTCTTGCTCTTGCTCTCGCCATGTGACATGCCTGCTCCCCTTCACCTTCTGCCATGAGTCAAAGCTGCCAGCGGCCTCCTTAGAAGCCAAGTAGATGCTGGTGCCATGCTTGGCAGAACTGCAGAACTGTGAGCCAATTAAACCTCTTTTCTTTATAAAATACCCAGTCTGGGGTATTTCCTTATTGCAACGCAAGAACTGCCTAACATGCATGCCTTCTTACGCTGTTGGTCTCCCCACTTCATGTTCATCGTGCTTTCCTGAGGGCTGGCCTTGCTGAGTCCCACCGAGCACCAGATTGGAAGTGCCAGACCCACACAGATGCCTCGTTCCACTCCCATGAGGGAGGAAGAGCCATTCTCTGCAGTAGATCCACACTCTACACCACTTGAAGTGGTTCTGCAGCCGGAGTGAGCCCTGGCTGAAACACACTTCAGCTGTTTTTGAGAAACAGGATGGTCTGCTCTCCTCTCTCCTAGGGACGAGGCACAGGAGGCCAGAGGGCAGGTTCTGCGATGTTGGGACATAAGATGCAGCTGTGGTGGTCTTTGAACTGTGCATGCAGTAACAGGAAGACTGTGGACACAGGTCTCCTTTGCAGAATTTTAGAAATAGGCAGACTCTGCTCTTCCTCTAAGAGTCACATTGCTGTAAGGCAGAGGAATAAAACCACTTTCGGCAGCTCCTGATGGGACACAGCCATGGCCACGGAGCAAGGTGATGAACGAGGCAGAAGAGCCCAGCTGAAGCCCTAGTGCCATCCACCTACCACTGCAAGCACGTTGACCTTTGACAGCTGGCTTTATCTCTACTGCACAGTGAAGGATCATATTACAGAAATAGCAATGCCTATGCCACTTGGCTGTTGGGAAGATGAAACAACATGATTTTTGTTTAAGTGCCATGTAATCCACACAGTGTTACACACATGTTATTTTTATTCATGTCTCTATTAAAACAGTTAAGCTTTGGATTTGCACTTCTCTGTTTCCAAGAACATTGTAGAGGGAGAGAAATCAGTGAGTTGAAAATCAAACCACTCTCAAAACAGCTCAAGAAAGCAACCAGTTCATCTTCTACTATATGGTGGTGGTGCATGCATGCTTCTGTCCCCTTCCCAGTCAGGCCATGCCTGGATGAAACTGCAGCAACAGGAACCTGCAGAAATCTGCAGGCAGGGATGACGTAAAATAGATCCGTGTGTCCACAGCAGAGAGCTTCCCCACTTCAGAGTCAAAGAAACTACTTTCTCCCAACCCAGTGCCATGGGAGGAAGAATGGGATTTGTTATTTTTAAATCTTTTGGAAGATTCAACTGGGATCCTGCATGGGAATTTCTACTAGGATATATTTCTTGAAGACTTGTTCTCTTTGCATTACCATTTCAAAACAGAATAGTTCATAAACATCTACTGTGCAGCATTGAACCCTTCTCATTTTAGAGGTGTCCTGGGAAAAGTTTGACATTTAACAGGCAGGGCTGTGATTTGAAGTCTTTAGGTCAGCACCCCAGAGCATGGAATTTTTTTGGTGACTGTATTTTCAGACAGGTCTAGTAAAAATTATTTTTATTCTTAAATGTCCTCTGTCTGTGGTGGGAGCCTTGTCTTTGAGAGTAGGCACAGTGATGTCTAGCTGTCACCACAGTCACAGTTTCATCCAGGCATGGCCTGGCTGGGAAGAGGACAGAAGCATGAATGCACCACCACCAAATAGTAGAAGATGAACTGGTTGCTTTCTTGAGCTGTTTTGAGAATGAGTTGATTTTCAACTCACTGATGAGCTAGTCTGCAAAATGCTGAGAACAGGGGAGAAGGACAGAAGACAGAGAGAGCACAGGCTAGGGCGATGGCTCCAAAGGCTCTGGGAGAATGGGATTGTTACTGAAACAACAGGGGTTTGGTCTAGGTCCTGTTGCTTGCCACACAGAAAGCCAATCACTGAGACAAGTATTGCCAGGGAAGGCAGCTTTATTCAGATGGTACAGCCAAGGAAATGGGAGATCAGTCTCAAATCCATCTGCTAAACTGACTAAAATTAAGGGTTTACATAGCAGGGAAGAAATGTAACTACATGTGGGAAAACAGGAATTAGGGAGGGGTAAGGAAGAGGAGTTAGCCAACAGGCCAACAGGCAGCAGGTGGTGAGTTAGGCAATCATGACGAATGAGGGGTCTGTTGTCTCATTGTCCTGATGCTGTGATCTGGAAAGTTTCAGTTCCTTGATACTATCTGTGAGACCTGATGGTTGCTTTCCTGAGAAAGGAACTCAGATAAGACAAATGTAACTTTCTTGTTTTAAAACTAGGAGGGCCAATGTCTATGCTTATTCAAAAGACATCATAAACATCAGTTCCATGGAACAACTGGGCTGGTTTCAGGATGAGGGGACAGGGTCCTGTGGGTGCTCCCTGGAGGAGTGAGGTCATCGGGTGAGGGAGACTGCTGGCGCAGACCTATGCTATGTGTATGCTCCAGCACCCACCCTCTCAGGACACCCTGAGCCCAGGTGTGGCTACAGCTGCTCCTCCCAACGGGACCCTCTTGTAACTCTGGCTGGGGGCCAGGCAGGTGGACTGATACCCTCAGGATGGGACATGGCTTCAGAGGAAGCACATTTTCCCTTTCAGTTCAGAGCTACCCAAATGGAGAGTTCTTCAGGGATGTCACATTCCTGGTAAACTCTGAGGCAGGACTCTAAAGACCCCCATATTTTGCTTATTATCCTCAGTGTAACTGAACCCTGATTGGTTGATACAACTGAGTCCTGATTGGTTGATACAGCTGAGCCCTGATTGGCCGAGGTAGCTGAGCTTTTGGCCAATGATTGGTTGGTTCAGGTGAGCTCTGGTGTCCCAAAGTTGAACAGAGGTGTTGGTTTTGGGGACCTTCAGAGTATGTGTGTGACCTCTCATCAGTAAATAGCTGCATGGCTCTATTTTATATTTAGGCCCAGGCAGCCACTTCAGATCCGTCTTCAAGGACTGGCTCTTTCAGGCTCATATTTGTTAGCACCATTTTAAAAATTGTAAGGGGTCAACCCATGGCAGCCACTAACCTTTTTACTGCATCCATAGATTTGCCTTTTTCTGAATGTCATATCATTGGAATCATATAGTATGTAACCTTTTCAGATTGACTTATTTCACTTACCAATATGCATTTAAGTTTCCTCCACATGTTTTCATGGCCTGATAGGGCATTTCTTTTTAGTGCCGAATAATATTCCATTGTCTGGCTGTACACAGTTTATTTATCCGTTCACCTACTGAAGGACATCTTGTTTGCTTCCAAGTTATGGCAATAATGAATAAAGCTGCTCTAAACATCTGTGCACAAGTTTCTGTGTGAACGTTTGTTTTCAACTGTTTTGGGTAAATACCAAGGTGCACATTGCTGGATCGTATGGGAAGACCTTTTAGTTTCGTAAGAAAGCACCAAGCTGTCTTCCAAAGTGGCTATACCCTTTTGCATTCCCACCAGCAGTGGAAGAGAGTTCGTGTTGCTCCACATCCTTGTCAGCATTTGGTGATGTCATGTTCTAGACGTTGACTATTCTAATAGGTGTGTAGTGGGATCTCACTGCTGTGTTAATTTGCATTTCCTGATGACATGTGATGTGGAGGATATGCTTATTTGCCATCTGTATCTCCTGTTTCATGAGGTGTCTCTTGAATGTTTTTAACTCTAGAAAAAAAATTAGTATACCATGAAATTATTTTCTTTTTCTCCAAAACAAAAAACGACCAAATTTAAAAAAACAAAAAAACAAAAAAAACACAAGCAGACCAAAACATGACACTCCTTTAACCCAGCTCATTATACTCACTCCTAAATACAAAACAGAATATCTGGGAAGGGCTGAGTAGGAGAGGTACCTGGGGGCCTGCAAAGGTCGTTTCCCCCCTTTCCTGTGAACCTAAAGCTCTCCCAGAGCCAATAGGGAATGAGGAGAGGGGGAAGAAAGTTCTGCTTCTGCCTTTTTCCATGGGAGCTGGATGAAGTCCTGCCAAGGGCCACTTCATCTAAGTATGCTTCTTAAAGGAGAATTTGGTTCTAGGACTAGTGGCCACTAGGGACAGGTTGATAAGGCACAGGAATAGAGTGGTCAGATATGGATTATCTCACAGTCATTGAGGACTTACTATGTGCTCAGCATGTTGGTAAATGCTTCTCATTTTATCTCATTGGATTCTCACTGCAGCCCCACACAGTAGACACCGTTATTTCTCTTTCTTGCCATGTGGGCTGGTCCCTGTTGAATTTAGATGGAGCTGAGCCTGGTATGTGGCCTTGCCTACACTCTCCTGGTCTAGGTGACTCAGACTTGGACAATAGAGCGAACACGTTCTTGTTTCGAGGGCAAGGCTTTAAGACTACCCAAGGCTTGTGGCTCTGAAGGGATATAAAGTGAAACGACAAGACAGCATCCCATGCAAGGCAGGCAGCTACTACACGGCTGAATACATTGCCAGGTTGTATGTGTAGTGGAACCCTTGAGAAGATCCCACCACCATCCTCACATTTGATAATTGAGTTGTATTTGCAGAGATGGTAGCTCACTTTGAAGTGGTTTTGCCATCAGGTTCCTGGGCGGATAAAATATCATAAGATGAGTCAGCATTCTTCCTCTCCTCTAGTGGAAACAGAAACAAACAGCGAACTCTTAAATCTCTGTTTATTCCTTCTTTCCCAGGTTGGGGGAGAAGGTGGGAGCTTCCTTTAGTCTTACTGTGTGATGTGATCTGCTGTGACATCTGGCAGTGCCTGCAGTGAAAGAAACAGCTGGGAATGGTCACGTCCTGTTTTCTGGATGATATAACGCAGGCTAGAAGTCTATGTCCATCAACTATCAATCACCGCCTCTGAGACACTGCACGTGCAATTAATTAGCTAGACCAAGACGTCTCCGAAGGCCTGGATTCGGAAACCAAACTCCCCTTGATTACGTGGGCCATATTCCTCGTGGCTGGACTTCATTAACCTCAGCTGTGTTCAGCTATGGAGGCCTCTGATCGAGTCAAGATATTTTGCTGCCTAGTTGATGCTGATTGGATTCAGGGTTTTTGTTACTTTACAAAGGCAATGCTTATCCCTGTGGGTGATAAGAAACCAACAAGGCCCAAACTGCCAGCATTGGTTTCCCCTGCCTCTAAACCGGCGTGCTCTATTTGGGTGTTTATTTCGGGACTTTGGACTGCAGATGGGATTGTAAGTGCTCCCTGCTCAGGGAGCTTACCCTCAGAGGGAGAATGTGGGCCTGCATAAACCCCAGGAGATCCATTGAGGAGACACCTAAAGTGAGTTCAGTGATGGGGTGAGAGCATGACGCTGCGATGCTCATTGTGAGACGGTGGGACAGGGCCCCGGGCAAGTGAGAAGGCGGCCAAATGAAGGCCTCGCTTTCCGCTGCTTTCTTTCCTGCTTTTCAGCAGCCTCGTCTCGGCTGGCCTGGGTCTCTCTTTTCTTCTGCTTTTTCTGCTCTGCTCTTCGTCTAATTTTCCTGGCCCGTGATTTCCGTGTGCCCTTTTCTCCTTCTCCAGGCAGAACTTGTGCTGTGCCACCCTCTGGGAGGCACAGGACCTGTCTGATGTGGCTCCTGTACTCAGGACTGCCAGTTGCCCTCTTCCCGCCTGTGGGCAGGTCCTGCAGCAGCCGGAGAGGGCATTCTCAGGCCCTGTCACTTCTTTGTAACTCGTGATCAAACAGGTTCTGTGAGGATTAGGGAGGCACCCAGCTTTGTGTTATAATTACTAATCCTTTGTTTTCGTAACATTGGGAGAATTTTTTTGTTTGTTTGTCTAGATGGTTGATTCTAAATAGCTGCAGAGCTCGTGGCAGTGAGGTTAAATGTCACTCATGGCTCATTGGTGCCCTGTGTGTCTGCAGGTGTCAGTCACTGCTGTATGAAGAGCTGGGGTCCTGCAGTGCTCGGCTGTCCTCAGCTCTGGCCACTGTGGTAATGACCTGGTGAGATTTGGAAATTACCGATGGCTGGTCCCACCCCCAAGGTTTGATTTAATTGGTTTGGATGGTGGCCTGCGCATCCAGATTTTAGAAATCCCTCCTGGTGCTTCTCATACAGCGATGAAGGAAGCCAGTGCTCAGACTCTGTGAAATCAGCAAAGGCTGGAGGCCAGGAAGAGCCAGCGGCCTGAGACAGCAGCACGAGTTCACATTCCCTTCAGCTGCACTGTTCTCTCAGATGGTCTCACAGACCCTTGCTTCCCCAGGAGATGGAAATCTTACTCTTCCGCCCTCATTTATTCACTCAGCAAACATAGGTAGAGCCCTTAATAAGCATCAGGCATTAGGGAGACCCACGGAGGGGACACAGGGGGTGCTTTCGCAAGATTTACAGGGAGTCAAGGGAATGCAGCTTTGTGAACAGGTGATTCCAGCACCTGCCGCGTGTCTCAATAGAGACCACGAATCTGTGCAGGGCAAGGAAGCGCTCACTCAGCATACGTACGTGAGGGGCAGGTGATAGAATGCTTTTGAGAGTTATGATCCTTATTTAATGGTGAAGAGAGTTGAGGGGTTTGGACCAAGTTGTGTGCTCTTGGTTACCAAGGTCAAACAGCAACAAGATGTTTGTTCACCCGAGCTCTAGCCCCACATGGGTTTGAATATGCTTCTCCGTCACAGCTAACGAGGTGTCCTACCATTTGCATTCTGAGAGGTAAGATACTACCTAGAGAATGAAAGCGTTTCCAGCTGCTGCCCCCATGGACCTGACCCTTAGTACCCACGAGTGTGCTGTGGTCACGGCTACTGAACGTGACCAGCAGTGTCAGGATCACTTGGGAGCTTGTTGAAAATGTAAATTCTGAGGCCCTTACCTGAGGCTTACTGAATTGGAATCTCTGGGGCTGGGCCTGGGATTCTGTATCTGATGAACTCTTGCGGTGATTCTCATGCCTGTGGATGTTTGAGAAGCCCCACTGGAGGTCCCTGCGTCAGTTCCTGATGGGTGGATGCTGGAGATTGCACTGTTATTCCCAATTTTCCACCCACTTGAAATTCATACCCTTCGCCATGTGACTCTGTAGTTCCTCCCACCAGAATAGAAGTATCTGCCCCTTTCCCGACAATGTTGGGCTGACAGGTGGACTGTGGGAGGAGGGGATGGTGTCCTGCTGATGTTAAGCCTAGACCTCAGGAGACATTGCATGTCTCTCCTTGCCCCTCTAGGAGCTTCCAACTTCTGCATGGAAAGAAATGCTGCAGGTAACTGCTGTCTCTTTCCCCTGTGCCCCAGAATGAACACGTGTGGAGCAGAGCCTCCCAG